GGTTTCAGTTTTTAATTTAATTTTTTTGGCCGTTCTGATTTGCTGAGGGTAATTTCTAAAAGCTAACATCATATTTGCCCATACGACATATAAGCACATGCTCCCTTAATTTTTCTGTTTCATTAAGGCTAAAAATTAGTAAATGAAAGAAGTCGCCAGACCTACAACTACAAGAGTTACTATACAGTTGGATGGTATCTTTTACTCAAAATTTATAGCCATTTATTTAGTGCAACTACTCTCTCAACTAACTTGTCCCCTGCCCTTATCAAGAATGGGCTAAATCCCAACGTGATGACTAATAAAAGATAAAATCGTACACCCCGAGTCATGATTCGATGTCTATAAATAGGATGTTTCCCCCCCTATTTTCTCCCATCATCATCACAAAAGCAAAGCAAAGCGTGAGCATGAGAATGACTTCTCACATTGCTAAAGTTCTCTTGCTGGGAGTTCTGCTTGCCTCTCCCTCCGTCACTGCTAGCTTCGACTTCTATTATCTAGTGCTTCTGGTACAAATTTCTATCACAAATATCAATGAGCATTATCGTGACGTAGTTTTATTACCCTAACAAGCCCCGCAGCTTGAGCGTCTTTTTCCACGTGCTGATATACGAACCATTTTATACAACAAGTTACCTTTTAAATATACTTTAAATAGGTGTGTGTGACACTTTCTTTACCATGTCAAAGTATGTTAGCACCGCACTAAAACTCAGAAGTTACAGTAAGATTAATTACAAATTCTTACTGAAGGCTTTCAAGCAACAAAAGTATGTTTTAACTACATAATTTTACCTCAAAATGAGCGATTTAGCAACAAATTCGCGGCCCACCGCGCTTGGACATATATATTGCGATTTTTTACAAAAGGAGGGAGAGGAGAAAAGAAAGAGAGAGACAAAAATGTTCTACAAATTCGCGGAATTATTATTATTTTTTTTAAATTACGCTCCGCTATTTAAATTTCCTAATTTCTGTGACAATATACAGTGGCCGGGATCCTACTGCGGACAGTCAAAATGCTGTCGACCCACAAATGGGCTGCCTCAGAAGGACTTCTTGCTCCGTGGCTTATGGACGTATAACAGCGCGACGGGCGAGCCCGTCACGAGATGCGAAAGGATACCGTTTGACTACAACCAAGTACTTAAATTAATTTCCCCGCTTCTTTTACTACCGAAACTGATGGTTTGGCCGTAATTACAATATGTCGCAAAAGCATTTTTCTTTAACCATCAAGATTGGCAACAGATCTCGAGCTTGAGCGGAGAGCTGGTATCGTACTGGAGCAACATCAGGTGCCCCAGCAACGACGGGAAAAGCAACTGGAAAAATGCATGGAAGACGTACGGGGTATGCACGGGGCAAAGCCTACGGGAGTACTTCAAGACCGCGTTGGATTTGAGGTCTGAAGTTGATTTGCTATCGCACTTGACCAGAAAAGGTATTAATTAATTTTAAAAAGCCTACTAATTACATATAACAGGGTTAATTTGTTGCGCATAGATCCCCTGTGAGTATGAGCGTTTCGAACTTGACCCAGTGCGATTAGCGACTCTATCGATCTGAGGGTAAAAAAAAAAAAAGGTCAAGAAAAATTAACCCAAGGGATCCATTGGCGACAACGAAACTAGAGCGGTAGTAATTAAATTCGAGACGCTGATACTGTAAGTTTAGGTATATATGGTATGAATGCAGGGTAATTTCTTATGCACGTTGTACGTGTACCTTTGTTTAGGTATTGTACAAGATAAATACAAGCAATATAGTGTCTTGGAGATTGAGAAGGCCATCGCTGAGGGGATCGGAGCTACCCCTTTGATCCAATGCAGTAAAGGACGCTCTGGCGCATTCCAACTCTACCAGGTTTACATTTGCGTCGACGAGGCGGCAGAGAAGGTCATCGAGTGCCCTGTGAAGCCTGAATTCTACTGTCCCCCTACCGTTTTGTTTCCTCCCTTTGATTACAGCAACTTCGTTGGCCCACGAGGTGAGAAGACTAAAATGCCCTTGTCGATCGAGTAAGTACGATAATCGGCCTGTAAGAATAAGCCCACACTAGGAAATGAGATGAAAGTCAGTAAGTGGTCGATGTTACCGTGGGCACCAGTTTGTCTCTCCAAGTTTATCATGTAATGATCTTTATGAATAAAATGTCGACGATGGTTGCATGTGCTCTTTCCTAGTCTTCATCAGCTGCACGATCAATTTTATAAGACAAATGGTAAACGAAAAAGAAACATCAAGGAAATGTTATGTACCCAGTGAAGACTACAGAAGTTAAAAAACTTCATTTTGGCCCGTTAAAATTGGTCATTATTTAGTTTTCGTTAGCCGTTGGTAGTATATAACAGATATTATACAGGCATAGATTTATGTTTGCCCGAAGGGTACGTATAGATTGGATTCATAAAAAAAAAAAAACAAAGGAAATCAGAGTTATACAGCTTAACAAAATCTCATTTGGTAAAACATATCCAATAATAAAATGCGATTAATGAGTATTCTTGTCATTTTAGGGGATGTTTTTCAGAAAAATTGACATGACTGAATCTACGCCAAGTGACTCGCATAACGTATATACCCGGCCGTTAATCTCAGATAAAATAACACACTGTACTTTTTTTTTCTTTCTCATCGTGCCCACATTTTGAAAATGTATCGATCGTGCTGTAAATGTATCGATCATGCTGTACACGATTTTATTTAAAGCTAAGGGACACTAGTTTTATTATCTGTAAATATCATTCAAAAAATTTGTTGTGGGGTTTCCGTAATGAATACTGAGAATTCCCTAAAGAGCATTGTGAACATTTTCTCCTCTAGCAGAAAGATGTAAAAGTTTAGAGCACGCATTTGTAATTTTTTTTGTTGGTAAGGCTGGAGTGTGACCTGCCCAATCTACATTAAATATCATGTTATTTTCAGGTTGAAAAGTTGTCTGATGTGTTTCCTGCTACAAAGATACGGAAACTCTGTAGGAGGACTTCGAAAATGAGATAAGAATAGGCTTCTAGCGAACCACATGATAGCAGGTGAAGAGATCAACTGTATAGTGTAAGAAACTGAAATGTACCCATTTTAACTCAGATAAACAAAGAATTGGCTTTGTAACATTAATGATGATGTGCATTTCGTTCCAATAAATTGAAGGTAGACAAAATATTACAATTAGGCTCTCGCTTCATCAAACATTCGATGAATCTATGTCCGATATTAAGTCCCTCCCTTTTGGTGTTAAGCTTTGATAACTCACTCATCTTCAGTTGCCAACCACCATGTAAACGTAGATGTGCCCCTTAAGCAGCAAAACTGACAGTAACGTAAAAAAACCCAAAAGAAAATTTTGTTCGCGGATATTTTTTGATATAATAAATAGCCAACAGTGAACATTGTATATTCCTTGTATTCTTGAATTGGATGGCAGAAAATAAAAGATCAGATCATCTCTTAATCTGACTATAAAAATGAATACATATATATTCTCACACAACAAAAGTCGATTGTACTAGAGAAGTCAAATAAGATAAATCAAACATAGTCAATAAATTTGGTTATTTTTAAATGCGATAGCAATTTAAAAAAAAAATGCTACAATATCCCACCTCTGCTACAGTAATATATTTTAAAATGCGACCGTATTTTTTAAATAATGCTACGGTTCCTGCCTACGCTACAATAATTTTTATTTGAAGATGTTGCTCTATAATAATGGGAGGATCCAAGAATCACTATTGATACGACAGTAAACAATACAGTAATCTACCGTAGTATTTTTAATGTAGCATTTTCAATTAAAAAATTACTGTAGCATAAACGGAATACTGTAACTTTTTTAAAAAAATTACTATAGAAGAGGTGGGATACTGTAGTAGTTTAAAAAAAATTAATGTATCATTTTAAAATATCACTGTGGCATTTTAAAAAAATTGTAGCAACTTAAAAATAGGATTAATGTGACAATAAAAAAAAAGAAAGGCCGTGCTTAGTATGGGCCGCACGCTAGTAAATACTATCGGACTAGCTCCACCCGTACTTAGGAGGAGTGCCAAAAATGCAGGAGCAGCAAATGTGATGTCGGAGGAGATTACCAGCAGTAGTGACTGCATCAACATTAATTTTGCTTTTTATTAGTTAAAATACCTTTCCCGCACTAGAGGCGTCTGCGGTCTGCTTCGACCCATGGCGAATGCCGCAAGGCTATTATCGTCATTTCCTCCCACAACCCGATAACCGAGAGGCGTCAGCGTATTTACCGCTTTCCCCGGTCACCGCCCTCGCTTTCCAGTTTGAAATCCGGAATACCAAAAACGGAAAAATAAAAAAAAAAAGATCTCCCACAGTCTCGCCCCTTTGTCTTCTTTAATGGCGATTGAGCTCGGCTCCTCTTCCTTCTCTCTCCTCCCCAAAACCCTAGGCCCCCCCTCCCGCGCTCGATCCTCGGCCTCCGAGGCTGAAGAACTGGATTCCGTCAGTGATCTCCTCAGATCCCTGGTACGCTTTGATGTAGAACCCTTTTGAAGGATGGATGTAAGATTTAGGGTTTGCTTCTTTGTTTCCTTTTATTTGAATTATCAATGTATAGAGGGCGAGTTAGGTTCTAAAGTTGCCGAATTGGGTGGTTGAATGTGGATATGGAGGTCAGGTTGCAGGCTAGTTCTAGCGTTTGGTTTGATTTAGATAAGTTTACTTAGTAATTCTTTTGAATATGTTTTTAGTTGATATTTAGAAGTGTATGTCATGTGATTACCATACCATTTGGTTTGAATTTAGTCAACTGTAGAGGAGAATACATAGGAGATAAACAGGACACATTCGTTGGATTCTCGCTGGAAAAGAGTTGCTATTTTGGCGGGGAAAAAGGGTTTTGCGTGCCTATGCCTTATGCGCTATGGTTTTTGTTGTATGTTTATTTCTTTTATCAGTACTTTGCTGTGTTCATAAGAAATTTAGCTTTGAGTAAGTCTTTATATTTTTTTCTTCTTTTAATCTGAAGAATAAGTTTTAATTTGATAGATATACAGAACTTTATATGTTAAGGTACTAGGATATGTGCTGCCACTTATGTCAAACAGATAGGTACAATCATTGTCAATTTCTTTATAGAAAAATAATCATTCGCAATTGGAAGATATCAATCATGTTTCAGCAGTAAATTTAATATTTTCATGTATTTTCTTAGATCGAGCATTTATATGCATGGAGTTGATGTTAGGCGGTCCAAAAATTGGCAGAATGCTATACTGATGAGTACTATTAAACCCCCGTTGAGTTTCTGTATGAGAAATAGTTCATTATTCTGAAGCCATATGGTTGTACATTGGTTGGATTCATGGAACCTTCACGCTATGGTTATATGGAATGCAATTTGGATATCAAATGTACTATTTTTTCCTGGCTTTGGATCCATGGATTTTTTTAATATGCTGTTAGGGATGATGAGGGGTTTATAATATCACCGTGTTCTGCATTTTTAAGAGTCTGATGTATGTTTTAATCTTTTAGACCGTTGAATTAAGCTGAGGATGGGTTGGAATCAGTGTTGTAAATAGTGGCCAATAGCGGGGCTATAGCGGCGCGAATAGCGGTCGCGGCCCTTCAGCGCTACGCGTAGGGGTTTCGTGGCTGGCTTAAGCGGGAAAATCCGCTATTCATTCGAATAGCGCGTAAAAGCGGATTTTAGCGGGTTAAAAGCGGGTTTTCGCGGTTAAAAGCGGATTTTCGCGGTTAAAAGCGGATTTTTGTTGTTAAAAGCAACTAAACCCGCTATCACACATATTATGATGCTATATTTCTTGAATTTCTTCATAGTTTCATTCATACAACAAGCTTATTAATTGTTATTTATTGATAATACAAGAAATTTACACTAATTGAATTTTTAGATTTTTTATGAATTTTTTTATTATTTAGGATATTTAAATATATTTAAATTTGATCGTTATTTGACTGTGCGCTATTTGCCGCGATTTCGCCGCAATAGCCCGATATAACCTTAGCGGTACCTCGCCGCGACGCGCCGCGATCCGCTATCAGCAACCTTGGTTGGAATTATTAATTGTTCTATGTGTATATGTTCCTAATATGGGATTGTGGTCCCAGTTTTAACCCAAGTAGATGAGAAATCTTATGCCATAGCATATCGACAGTTTGGCATTGGGGTAATGTTTCTGGCATCTTTTATCAAGATCCTCTATTACTTCAGGGTCACCATTTTTTATTGCCCAAGTATTTATCTTCATTATTAGTTCATAAGCAGTTCAGTCCCCAAACATGCTTCCTTTTTGTAATGAACCAGGTAGGCAAAGGATCAGCACAGCTTGTGCAGCAGGCGCAGACAATTACTAAGAGTTACACAAATATTCACAGTCTGCATTCTGAAGATGCATCCTTTACTGCAAATCACAGGGATCATTCCCCAGAGCGAAGACCAGCATTGGGTCGTAAACGGGCTAAGTTTTCCCTGAAGCCTGTTCCCAGGTAAAAGCAGGTTTTCCAATACAGACATCGTAATATTCACTGCTTAGTCCTTACCGTTCATATTTTAATAACATCCTTCCAAGTTGAGTTGTTTTAGCATGACACATCCTTGATATTTTTAGGTAAGCATCTCCTACCTAGTAGTTTATACCTTTGTATAATATCTGCAGCTTCATGCATGTCCTGTAGCATAATTTCCAGCGGTCTGCATCAAGGTTGCTGATGTTTAATAAGTTTTAGCAGACATTGAAAATAGGTGGTTCTTCCCAAACTGTATCCTTCTTGGATGATTTCAAATCTCAAGAAGGAAGCCTCTTGATCTTATAGAGAATAATGCATATATGATTTGTGTATACAAAAGGTTATATGGGGATTAATTATTACTGGTTGGTCTCTGCTTCGCAATTTTTTGATCATCAGTTAAATTGTGAGTCTTGAGATGGGACATTTTTATGTGCAATCTGTGTAACTGGAACAGTTTTCCTGTAAGTCTTTTACATGTCAAGATATATATTCCTTCAATACTAACTACTGTTGTTTCTTTTGCAGTAATTCTGTTCCAAATATAGACTTTAGCTGTAGCCTTGACCACATTCATGATCCGGAGGAGTACTTCTCAGCCTTTGAACAACTTGAAAGTAATCTTCTACTATGGAACCTGCTCTGTTTACTATGAAGAGGCTGCTTCTGGATAACATTTATAGCTTTTACCTCTATTATGTATGACTTGCAGATGCAGAAAAGGAGTTAAAGAAGCTAAGGGGTGCATTCTGTACAGAACCCGTGGAACCTAATAAGTCTACAACAGTTCGTAAACATCGTCCCGGACTACTTGGGTATGTATAGTTAAGCTTTATTGTTGGTGTTTGAATCCCTGTTAGAGTATATTCTTCTGGTTCCTAGATTTAGGGTTATACTATTTGTTTTATGTATCTTCAGTATCCGACTTCAGATGTAATTGCAATTCAAGATTTTTGTTTGAATTGGATATAATTGTGAAATATGTGAATTCTAAATCTATGAATTTCTGAAAGGTGTTACGCATATTAAATGAAAGTGCATCTCCAACTAAGTAAAAGAAAGTCGATGTTTTAAGAATCAAGGATCTCAATTACCATTGGCATGAATTAGATTTGCATAGTCGCAATTTCATGAATTCCGGAGAAACTCAAATTTCTGTTCAACAAATGGACATGTATTTCAACTCATACTTTCTCATTCAAATACTGAAAGTCTTGGATGAAAATGACCATACATATAATGACCAATATATCTTACGACCCTTAGTCACTAGTGGACTTTGGTTCATTCTAATTTTCTTCTTGCCTTGCTACTTTTTCTGGATAAAGAAAATGGTCCTTCATCCTATTTGCACTCTTACTTGGGTGTGTGCATCAAGTCCTATCTTCTTCAACAAACATGGACCACTTGGAAAATATAATAGATAAGAATAATAAGAAGAATGGAATAGTTAAGTTGTAAATGTATTTTTTGTTACACCTTGGTGTTTGTGACTTGCGCTATGATTTCTGATTCCTTTCATAGTGAAGTAGTTGACTTGAAGGAAAGTGTCTATGCTAGTCTTTTGTGAAATTTTAGTACTGTGATAAATTATATTGTCAAGGACTGAAGAACACTTGCGCGCACACAGAGGAACAGTCACACAAACCATTTTTCTATTATGAGCTAACACTGTATTTCTCTGTGGCAGGTAGGTTGAACATGCAACAACCAAGAAACAACTTTTTACACTGCAGGTTACTTGTTTAGCACTATTGATTTGATGATAACCAGATCAATAATTTGAAGCAATAAGTTACATCAAAGAACCTGTCTTATTGGAGTTACATCTTTACACCCACAAGCACAGACACACAGAGGCTTGCAATGAGACAATCAACATACATTTGCACAAATGATAGAAAAAAGTACATGTATATTGTTAATCTTTTCCATTGATTCAACCGTACATTTTAAACTTTTCCATTGATTTAACCGTACATTTTAAAATTGGACCATCGGTAGATATAGATAGATTCTCTATCTTTTTTTCCCCAGTAGATCTATATCCTAGTAAATGAAGATCTGGAAGAAGAAATGTCTAACCTGTATCTGATTTTGAACTCTTAGCATGCCTGGCAAGAGCAGGAAAATTCATAAGTAGATCTGCTAGATCTTTTCTGATACAAGTGTTCCAATGCTATATTGGCGAAGCTTAAAAACATGAGCTAGTAGTTGTATGTTGATTAATTGTCTCTCAATCAGGAGGACAGCTAGTTACAAACATCATAGTTCAGCTGATGCTGATACTACTGAGACCTTTACTGGGTCCCAAGAAGAACATCTTGATAGAAGAATTCCCAGTACATCAAATACTTCAGTTGGTACAGGGCCATCAAGCCTATTTCACGGAAAGCTGGTTAATGAATGTGGCAGTTCAAAAGCTAAGAAGACAAATGGTAGACTACAAGATGCTATTGATACTGAAGGTTCTCTAAGCTTCTTTCTGCAAGTTGTTTATTCTGATAGTTTGGTTCTAATAGATGATTAGTTCCTCTTACAGGCTCTGTGGCTGATACCAATAGTAATATTTTGGAAAAACTCTTGTCCTCATTTGAAGATTTTGATGAAGCTGAAGGTAAAAATTTTCTACGAGAGAGCTTGCAGATGAAGTTGATCGATGCTGGCAAGTTTTGCCTCCCAGAACTGGGGAATATTCAATTAGGTCAGAGTGATGTGTTAAAAACTAAAGCAACGCGTGCAGACTTCAAGAGTTCTCAGATTTCATCACCCGCACTAAAGGCAATATCTGCTTTTCAGCGACGCGTTTCACTGAAAGATCCACTAAAAGATATTTGCTCTGAACTGCCTAGTGATGGTGCCCCTTCCACCAGAGACTATACACTCCTTAAAAGTCATGGGAGAAAATCTCCTTTACCAGTGGATACTGGTAACCATGATGTGAGTGGATTTTCTTTTGATGATGCTTCTTCTCCGATGGCGGAAAGAGGCACCGGTTTGGGTTTTGAGGATGACCACTCCCCTGTCTTGGAAGCGGATAAATTGACTGGCAACAATATCACATTACAAGAAAAGCATGAAGATCATTCTCGTCCTTCTCCTGAAAAAAGTATGAATTCTGATTCCAATGGAGTCATTAATGACAAAGGAACTATATATGATGGACTTGATGGTGGTTTGCAAGAGGCAAGTACCTCTGAATATCTCATGCTTTGTGAGCCCAAAAAAATTTATTGACCAGCATATAACTTTTCTTTCTTGGCATATTTTTAGGGCAACTATATACAATTGGATCCTATCATTATTGATCAGGCAGATGCTGGGGTTGATGGTCTGATAACAAGTTGCAGCGATCAAGCTAGTAGGAAAGAGATCTTAGACCATCCGTCTCAGCTGCTTGGAGAAAACACAGATTTTGACTCCAATGCGGGTGACAATGAAAGATCATGTGCTTTTGATGTTAATGCACAGGTGGAGTCAAGTAGTTCTGATGCCTTATGATCCCAAAGTTTTTATGGAGGGTGATTTGATGTTGGGTTCTATGTTTTCAGGATGATGACATGCAACAAGATTATTTAAGCATGAATCAGCCAAGTGCTGGTGTTGGAGTTCTGCCTTCAATTTGTGTCAATCAGTCCACAACAGAGAGCTTAGCAAGCCCACCTAGCAGAAAACTGGATGGAATCTCTAACATCAACGTTGAAAACGTATGTTATGAACTTGACACTTCACAGTCCAAGGTAGATTTCCTTGATGCAATTATAACTTCGTGGTTATCTTAAAATTTCAAAAGGAAGAAGGAAAGGAAAAGACAGTTTAATGTACGTTTTATTTGGCAAGTTTCAGATAGATTCTATGGTACATGACAAGGTGCTTGATGCTGGAACTTCTAGAGGTATTTATTCCTCTACTCCTTTAAACTAAGTCTCCTAGCTTCCATATATCACAAAGTTTTCCTAGCTGATCCTACAGGACTCTGTCAAGCTAAATGCAGCCCAATAAAATTTATAACTTAGCAGACTAGGAAATCCTTTGACCATAATATAGGTATCTATTGTAGTTATTTTAATCTATTCAAGTGAATTTGACTTTAGCCAGGAATTAAGACCTCTTTTTTCACCAGTATATGTACCTCTACCTCTAGTCAGTATCTAGTATTTAACTTTTTTCTTCTTTAATTAAAATGATAATTTGTGGACAAGAGCATTAGTTTTACTGTAAGACATACAGAGGGTGTTACAAATGACAACTTTATCCATCTTGATTCCAGGCTATGGCTAAATATGCGTCCATACTCATGCATATAACAAATACCATGTATATAATGTGATAGTTCTTTAAAATCATAGAAAGAATATTTATGTTTAGGCTCATCTCTAAGTAAAAGACAAATGACTCAACCCAAGTCCAGAATAATCTTAAAACATAACTAGGGAATACATTTTGTTTTTGGGTTAGTTCCTAAAGTTTCAGGTTTTGAATTCTTTTCTTGGCATTCTTGCCATTAATTGTTGTCGTTATGGTTCAAGTAGGAGGTCGATGATCTGACTCAAGTCCTAACAAACTTGAATGGTAGTGCCTTATGAGCAAATGGAGGAGAACTTGCCAACACTCATGCTCTGCAGGACTTCAATTGTATGCAAAATTTCAGTGTTGGGTCCTGTACATGCCATTGACTTTTCAATTTCCATGATTTCCTTGTCTAGAGAATTTTTGGAGGTTTGTTCCTGGGGTCTTTATTATACCAATGTGTCATCATCATTTAAGCTGTTTCCTCATCATAATGGTCTGCTATGGAGCAGAGTAAATGGATTTTTATGACTATCATCCTGATGTCAATACTCTTCCTGTATATGCCAGATTTCTAACCAAACTAACTTTGAGCCAACACAGGCTATCTCATAGTTCCTTAACTAGTATGTTGGTGACTTGGTGGTGTAGAACCACACATCACTGTGCATTTTAAGCTGACCAAGAGAAATCATCAAAGTTCTGTAGATAGTTGAAGAAAAAGAAAATCTAGATAGGTCATAGAGCTAAGGTGGTATGTTGTTGGTCTTTGGACCTCCTAATTTCCTACCTTACTTCCAAGTCTTTTTATTGGTCATCGTTATGTTAAAACCGTGAAGTCTGCATCAAATCAGTTAATATTTGATAGACAAGCCCTTTAAGAATTGGCCAATCTGTAAATGAAATTGGTTGGCTTTGAGATTTTCTAATAGCTGATATATTTTGGTATGATAATGCTTGGACCATGATAATAATTGACGATGAAGCTGATGTTGACCATGAAACAGCTTTTTACAGTGTGGAAGTGTCTTTGTATAATGAAGAGCAGTGTGTGACTGGGTTTATTTGGACCATTCAGTGATGGAAGAGTTCTTATAAATCATTGACACACAAGCTAGAATGAGTTCTTATAAATCATTGACACACAAGCTAGAATAACTTATGACGGAAAAGAACTATATGATGATTACAGCAATCATGAAAATAAATATAACAAGAAAGCCCTTCCCAAATTTTTGTAATTAGCAACAGTCTCCCATTAGAACTAACTTCTTTCTGCCTTCTTTATCATCACTATCCATGTTCATGTACCCTTCCACGGTCCTTTTGTCTCCATTGACTTTGATCCTGTCATTTCGCCTAGCTGGAACAATGAGCTACTCTACTGTTGATTGCTAACAATCTCAACTAATCCGCCTCATTTCTCCTTGTCAAAGCTCTCTCTATCATGTTATGGGACTCTTTCCTTATCAAGAACAATATAACGATAAGCATCTTTGACAATTCTACTCAATCAAATGACAGAGCACCCCTTTTGGTTGACTCCTGTTTTCAGATTGGTTTCAACTAGTCTGCCTTACATGCTAATATTTCTTTTCCTTGAAAACTATTCTGCTTTTATCTTGTCAGATTATCGCAATTGCTTTGGTCTTCAATGTAGTATTTTGTCACTTATTTTCCTAGGCAGCATTCTTTTTGGTGCTACGTTGCAAATGATGAATACCACTTAGTATATTTTGGATTCTGCATCCACGATGGCTATGGTCATGATTTCTTACTTTATAAGTTCTAATGTGTTTTCTTCTATCTTTGACAGAGATCACATGCTCTCTAGAAGCAACTGTTTCTACCAATCAACACTTGCAAAATAGACACTCCTCACGAGCAGAAACTAATGAGGTTCGCTGCATTCTTGTTATTGTAATCTTGCTGTTGTATTTATACAGTATTTTGAATATCGGTAGGCATATCCAGTATCTTCGGTCACGTTCTTGAGCACTTTTGATACCACGATATAAAAGCAGATACAGTTATCATTGTTTAACATTCAGTACACTACCTGTAGCTTGTCTCCCCACATGAAGTTAGGAGTTTTATCCTTGAATCTGCACTCACCATTTATGTATATCCCATACCACTTTGCCTTAAATGTCATTTCTGAGTATTTGACGCCTGACAAAAGGGAGCTATGATCATCACTTTTTGGTCAATATAGGCAAATGTCCCTTTGACCTGATTTACTGATTGCAGATTGCTTGGCGTGGTATTTTCCATGTGAATTATAATAGTCTTGTTAGCGTTTATTTATTTGTTTAATTATTTTTTGTGAGATGCAATATATTTTGTGTAGGTCCTTGTTTTGCATTATTCAGTTTATCGCTTGACACGAATCTGCATCCTTGGCAAACACCTTTACATTCATGTTGTGATGTTTTATTAGATATATCCCGGTGACACTTCATTAATGCCAGATTTATCAATGCTTCTAGCAGATAAAATATTATGGAGTCAATTACTTACTTCATGCCATATCCACTAATTGATATAGAATTCCTGTTGTGACCATGAATCCAACATCCGCCATTTAGAACCTTGGCTATATATTTGATGGATTAGAAAACATAGATAAACCTTATGAAATACATGCGTACAAAGAAACATGTAAGTATGGGGAGAGGAATACTATGTACCTGATAGTTTTTTAGATAAGTAGGAATGGAAGTTTGGAAGAAGACAATAGCATCTTGTGTAATGTTAACATACATGGAAAGTTGTGGCTGAGGTAGGGAGGGGAAGGCCCCAGATTGTTGTACAACGCCTAGGGGAATAGTTCTTTAGCTTCTGTACAATGTTTAACATACTGTCATGGAAGAGAGAAGGATCATGAATGGGTTCCTCTACAATTGATCTTTCTCCTTAGGGATGGCAGCTTCCTACCTCCGTTCTTTTATTGCGAATCAAGGATTTGTAGGATACAAGTGTCTCCTAAAAAAATTAAATCTTCAATGCTTCTATGGGTTGTTCCCTACAAGCCCTGTCTTCTGTCCAATTTGAGCAAGCATTTTCGCTATAACTATAGTTCATAAATCTCAAAAGGATTCCATTTAGTCATGTAAGGGTTGAAATACGGTGTTGAGAAAAGTTGAGCTAAGGATTCCATTTATTTACTTGTTATTTTGAAGGAGTAAACTGATTATCTGCCTTCTTTCATCTCTATGGTTGGCTTGACTTGGACCTGAGGCCTAATTGTTATGGGATGGATATTTAATACTCTCGACTGCGTCAACATATCTTAAAGAAATATCATATATTTTATTGGATATTTGTTAAACCAATGTTCTTTCTCTAAATTTCTCTTATAGGAACATCCACCAGCATCTGGACTGCCTATCAATAAAGTAATGAAAACAAAGGCACCAACAAATACAAGGCGTAAGAAAAAACTTATTTCAAGAAAGCATAGTCTTGCAGGTTTTTCCACCACTATGCTTGATTTAAGCTCTCTTTTTCATTCTAACTGCGTAGAATAAACATGATGTACTTTTCTGCTTATATCTATGTCTATTTTTTGTAATTTTAGGTGCAGGTACAGTATGGGAAAATGGTAGAAGGAAAAGCTCCAGACGAAGATTTAGACCTTTGGAGCATTGGCGAGGGGAGAGACTCTTATATGGACGCATTCATGAAAGTGAGTATTTACCTTTATGTCCTTTAATACATGATGATCATATTAGGTTTTCTATCTAGTGCAATCTAACATCATGCGTGTTTACATTTTAAGGGGGATATAAAAAAAGTTGATTTGTTTTTATTATTGACAATGATTTGAAGAGTACATATGAAAAACTGATTTCCTAGATAATCAAAAAGAAGTTGAAAATTCATGAATAATCATTTGTTCAATTATTTTCATACATTTTCAGTTAATTATCTTTCTAATTATTTCAATATGTACTCGAGAGGAATTTATATTCAGAAACATCACCTGCTAAGGTCTGGGAACTGAATTTGATCTGTATCTGTACTTTAAAAAAATGAATATCCATACCTGTTCCATAATTCCTTTAAAATGTGGGTACGGATATGGATAATAGTAAATTGTTTAACACATTTAAACATATTTTCAATTGTGTGAAAATCTTGTATGGATATCCAAGTGTACAAGGGTAATACAACTGCATATAGATTAAGTCTACTAAGTAATGATTAGTGGATACAAACATGAGTGTTATGCTCCACCATAGACATAAGAGCACCAGACATGACAATGCCAACACCAACACCAACACCAACACCAACACCAAGAATCCTTTATTCCAAAATTTTGGGGAGTGGGAATTCCTCCATTCAGTCCCATAAGAGAAATCTCCTCTGTTAAGTTAAGCTCTACCATATCCTTTTTAATTTCTTCGTACCAAGCTCTCTTAGGTTTACCTCTACTCTTCCTAGATCCATTAGTTATAATATTATCACTTCTCCTAATTGGCGCATTTAGCGTCTTCTATTAAAATTCAGTCATGAGGATATATGTATGTTTGACTAGCAGTTATAAGTATCTGTTGTTATTCATATATGAAATAACACAGTTTTTTTAAAATTATTTATAAGATAAATGTTTTTGTCAAAGGGGCATATCTACTCCATTTTATGTATAGTGTTTGAACTTTGAAGTAGGTGCTAGTGTACAAGTTTCAAATATTGGAAAAAGATGGACACGCGTGAAAAAGATGGACATGCATGTTGAGCACACCAACTTTTTAGGGGAAGTGCTTACATATTAGCTATTAAATTTTGAATAACTGAACACAAAGTATCCAAGTCCGGCTCTTGTTTTATCAATTATAGATAGTAAATTTAGTATTCATATATTGTGTATTTAGGCTTGCACGTGCCTCTGCAGTGTGTGCATGCATGTATTAGGAAATGAAGTTTCATTTAGCTACTGATGCCTGGCTTAGCAGTACAGAGATTGGGTTGGAATATGAAAAGTGGGGTTCAAATATTCAAGTCAACTCTATAACCATTTCTCCAAAAAGATACAATTGGATTAGGAAAGTCTTAATCCAGTCAATTAATGCCAACCTCTCTTCGGAATTCTGTTCCCAGTTGGACATGTTATAGTTTCTCTCTGGAGTTTCCTTTACAGTATATTTTTGTAAAATATTGTGGTGGTACAAAATACTAAATACCTGTAAAATCCCTAAAATTAAGAGCAGAATTTCCTACTTGAAGTTGATTCCTGGCAAACAGCTCAAGGGTGGCTGACACGTGTAAGATATATTTTGTATTGATAGGTTGCAAAGAAGTAGGTAGAATGTTCTGAGACAAGTACGAACTACAACAGAATTTGAAACTGATAGGAGAGAGATTGTAATTGATAGAACATTAATCGGGTTCTCTTTGCCCTTTAATGTATCTCCAACTGAGCATCTTAGACTATAGGACAGGAGGGATTGTTTTTAGTTATGCTATAGAATCGATGGTCTGAAATGCTCAGCTCAGTACTAGCTAGGTGAAGGTCCCACAGGTATTAGATGTTATGAACAAAAGTGACGTGCGTAATGCCGCAACATTAGTGTGAAAATGATGAAAAAGATAATGGTGTTAAGCATTTCACTAAAAATGCACTGTGAATCTAACCATTTAGAATTAAGAAAAGTAAGTTATAGTAAAATATAGAAAACTTGAACTCCATAACAAACTGCTGAAATAGAAATAGATTTAAAATTAATTCGGTGGAGTATTTGGGTCTTAGAGTGGTTTTAGATGTGGTTGGGTTTAAGAATAAATGGGAGTAAACATTCTGCGTTTGTTACCTCAAGAGAAAAGAAAAGAAAAAAGAAACGACTCTGGGTTGATAGCATGGTTTTAAATATTGGCCGATAATCCGATATTATCGCCGAGTTATCGGATTTGGGATCTTTCCGCTAGGATAAGTAGGATTTTTAATCGGTTATCGTTTTTTAAAGTTTCTCGGCGAGTTATCGGCGATAAAGGCACTTATCGGCCGATAAGCAGGCTCTAAATATCGGTTTTATCGACCGATAAGTAGGATTTGGGAGCTTTTACTTTTGAATTTGCTCTTTGAATGTTTACAAATTATGAGATATTTGTTGCTTTTGGAACTTGGTTGATTGGTAATTGGCTAATGTTTGTTTATGGATATTGATAATGGCTCATAACTACTAAATATCAACTTAGTAAGTTAGTTTATAAATCTCATGATTAAACAATAATTATGTAGATGCGTAGATGGTTCTTCATTCTTGATGTTATCTTATTATTTGCTTGTTTATTATTCCATTTTGACTAACATTATATTTTTTTCAAGCTTATGTTTGTTTATTATTTGCTAGTATATTACTCCGATAAATACTACTTATCCCCGATATATCCCCGATTTTCGCTATCCGATAAGGATTTTGACCGTCCGATAAATCCCCGATAACCGACATTTAAAACCTTGGTTGATAGGCAAAATTTCATTTTGGAAGTCGATGGGTTAAATAGTAGACAAGCGCAAAAAAAGCAAAGTTTGCGATGTCACATCATTTTTGTGAACCCCTCTCTCCCCTCCAAAAAAAGATTTAAGCACTGGATATAAACGTATACCATATAGCTAACTACTTAGAGGACAAATATATAGCAAGACAGCAAAAATAACAACTTACGCTATAGACAGAAATTCTAAAATGCAAAACGAGTTAAAAAAAATTAATTCATGGAGTATATTAAATCTAAGAATTATTTTGCAAATGGGTGCATTTAAAAATAAATTGGGGGTAAATTTTGGAGTTTATTGGAAAACAAAACACGTCTAGAGTTAGCGATATTCTACATTATTGTGAAAAGGCAAATTAAATAAATAATAGTTCAAGTGTTGGTTTAAAAATGCACAATACAAGTAACCACTTAGAACAAAGTATAGTAAGGTATATCAGAATATAGCAACTTACACTATAAACCAAATTGCTTAAAGTAAATTCAAAAATAATTTATTAGAGTATTTCAGGCTTAGGGGTGATTATTGAAGTTGGTGGGTTTAAAATAGGTGGAGGTAAAACTTTGGGTTTGTAGGCAAATACCATCCTTGAAGTTGGTGCTTTAAAAATAAATAGGGCCAAAACTTTAGGTTTATGGATAAAATACATTATTTAAAATAGCTATGAACAACATTGTAGGAGTGATTTCAGAAGTAAATGAGTTAAAAGAAATTTGAAGTAGAACTTTGGGTTTATAAACAAAACACCTTTTTTCTCCAAAGTAGGTGGGTTCTAAAATTACGGTATGACTAAGAGTGGCTTTGGAAGTGTACGGGTAAACATAATTAATATATAATCTTTTAAGAGTGATTTTGGAAGTTGGTTGGGTTCAGAAATAAATAGGGGTAAACTTTTGGTTTATGACAGAAATTTTTTGCTTAGTTGTTTTGGGCAATAGATGCTTTTATGTGCAAAACCCCAAAACTTTATATTGGGATCTAGAAATAATTTTGTTGAGTAATATGCGTCAAGGTTTTAAATATCGGTTATCGGGGATTTATCGGATGGTCAAAATCCTTATCGGATAACGAAAATCGGGGATATATCGGGGATACGTAGTATTTATCAAAGTGATATACTGGATGATGTGTATATATAATATAACAATTAAAAAATATAATCTAATCATGCTTAATGAAATATAAACATACCAAAATGTAAATCATCATGTTTAGAATCACTAACAAATTGTAGAAAGCGAAACTTGCATCATAGCCTTAAAAAATATAATGTTAGTCAAAATGGGCCGATAATCCCGATAATCCCGATAAAAAAGTCTTACTTATCGGCCGATAAGTGCTGATAACGCCGATAAATCACCGATAAACCTACAAAAACGATAACCGATTAAAAATCCAATTTATCCTAGCGGAGAGCTCCCAAATCCGATAACTCGGCCGATAATATCGATTATCGGCCGATATTTAAAAAAGTGATATGCGTGGGTCTAAGAACATTTTAGTTGAATGTGAGTGTAGGAGTAATCGTGCAATTGTGTATAACAAAAATAGGGATATACTTTGGATTTCTAGGGAAAAACTTGTAATTGTAGTCTATACACCCTTTTGGAGTTTCAGTGATACGGGTGTATCTTTTCTTTGGAACTTAGCGATCCTCATGGGAGCTTGAGAATAGATGATTCTCATAATAGCATGAGAATAGAGGTGTAAAACAACACATGGGAACGCAAGTTGAAGTGTGAAACGAGATGGCGAATCGAAGAATCGAAGAACCAGTTTTCAGCTTCATGAGTCGACTAGACATGTTATGAGTCGACTTAACCTGTCAAGTGAGTCGACTCAAAAAATCAAGCCTACTTAGCAAAACGACTCTGACCAGTCGACTCATCATTTCATGAGTCGACCCATGTGTCATGAGTCGACTCATATATGCACATGAGTCGACTCATCGAGCGTTTCCTGGTTTGTTTGGGTTTCTGTTTACACGTTTCCTGTGGGGTTTAGGCTTGGTTATTTATCACTTTGTCACCCAATGTTGTTACATCTATAAAAGGGGTTGTTTAGGGTTTCTAATCAATTAGATGTAATCAAAGAGAGATTCTAATCAAGTGAGATTAAGGTTTAGAGAGAATGGAGGGTTCGTTCTCGATTCTAGTGAGATTATGAGAGAGAGATTGTAATATTTT